GTGTCCACCAGTACTAAGGGATATTTGATGTTTTTACCCTGGGCATGTTTGTGAAATCAATTTGCCCATCAGCTCCGGGGTGTGGCCACGGGCCTGATGAGAAGGATAGGGTCTGGATTTTAAGGGGGTGTTGGTATTGGGCCTCTGGCAGATCTGGCATGTGGATGTAACCTGTTGCAGAAAGGTCCGATCGTCGGAGGAAAGAGGGAAAAAAGATTGAAGGAAAGTCGATAAGCTCTGGGGGCTGGAATGGAACAGTGAATGGAGGAATCTAGTGAGCTGGTGAGGGTCAGGAGGTCGCTCCTCAGAGGAAAGGTGGAGCAATGAGGAAGAGGATGGGGCCTGTAGGGCGGCTGACCTGGTCAGCTTTGGAGTTGCCCACTGTGGCAGGAGAAGAGTCGGTCTGACGGGGCTTTACAGTGGACTATTCCCAGCTGTAAAGGCAGCGTGGAGGCTCATAGCAGATTAGAAATAAGGCTGCATTTATAATAGCAGTTCCTTTAGTCATTAGGAGTCCCCTCTCCTTCCAGATAGCCACATGAAAAACCAGTATATGAAAGACATATTTGGAATCAGTGTATAGAGAAAGCTTTTTCCCTTTTGCTAGTTCACATGCTCTTGTGGCAGCTATAAGTTCTGCTTGTTGGTTGGTTGTGCTGGGATTGAGGCAATGAATGGCGCAGGAAGGCACCGGTCTGCGTGTTCCCTTAGGAGTTTGTGTCGACGAGTGAGATTGGGCAGGGAGGACACAAGGGGAGGAGGAGTGATTGAAAAGCTGTGGGCGGTTAAGAAAGGGCACCCATAGAGTTGCTCAAAGGGGCTAAGGCCTGAGGGGGCCCTTGGGGCTGCCTGAATTCAGGTGAGGGCCAACAGCAGGAGATTGGGCCAGAAGAGCCTGAGTTCAATAGCGAGTTTAGTGAGGTGATCCTGGAGAATGCCGTTAGGCCTCTCAGCCTGACCCAGGGATTGGGGTTGGTGGGGGATGTGGAGCCTCCAAGTGATGCTGAGGCCTTTGGAGACTAGCTGGACAACCTGAGAACTGAGGGCCAGACTGTTGTCCGACTGGACGGAGGCGGGAAGTTCGAACCTGGGAATGGTCTGCTCAAGGAGGATGGAGGCGACAGTGTCAGCAGTTTCCCTGGAGGTAGGGAAGGCTTCTCTCCAACCTGAAAAAGTATCAACCAGAGTAAGTAGGTAGCGAGGCTTTTTGTGCCTAGGCACGTGAGTGGAGTTGATCTACCAGTCCTCGCCTGGCTGGTGGCTCCTCATCTGAGGTGTGGGGAGTGTAGGTTTGATGCTTCCTTGTGGGGATGCTGGAGAGCAGACAGAATAAGCAGGTGGACCTGCTGGAGAGCAGTTCTCATTCCTAGGAAGTGAAAGAGGGGTTGTAAAATCTGGAAAAGGGGCTAGAGAGGGTTTTAGATGGGCACAGAGTCTCTGGAGCCAGAGGAGCTGGTCATGAGTCGTAGGTCTCCATCTTGGGCACCAGGGCGGTAGTCTTAAAGAAGCAGTTGATTGACTGACTGGTTGGTGAATCTATACATCTGATCTTGCAGGAACTTCTGTAGGCAGTTTAACAGACGTGGTCCTATTAGTGGTCCTATTAGGAGAAACCTAAAGAGGACTAATAGGGGTCCTGCGAGGGGGAGGAGCCAAGGCCATACTTGACTGAACATTCCCCATGGAGCCTGTTGGCTAGTTGCTGTCTCCTCTTTTCTAGCTGTTCTTGTCTTTCATTACTCCCAGGAATGACTATGTTTTGGCTTAACTGTTTTTGGTAGGTGTCTAAGATCAAGTTGGTCAAAACTGACTTCATTTCTATCTATTGTTAAGAGTCAGCCGAGTTCCCATAGGGGTCGCTCCTGAGGGAACCTGAGAGCAGCTTCTCAGTTCTGCTAGTGCCATTTGCGCTAGGATGGGTCCAGGCCTTGCTTGACCGTGGCTTCCCTTGGAAGCATCAGGGATGTCTCCCTCTCTGGTGACCCTCCTATTCCCAGCAAATGCACGGATTGCTTTTCATTCTCCAGTGGTCTCATTAATCTCCCTGACCAGGAGGTTATGTGGCCCAGAGTTGAAAAGCTCTTTAGACAAGTTCCTTGTTCCCTGGATTCAGACTGACTCAGAGGGCCAGAGCCAAACATTGGTTTTCTTGGCCCTTTTCATTTAACTTTAAATATTAATCATAAACATCCAGCAAAGTCAGTTTCACTTTAAAATAAGAGAACTGGGCTTTACCTGAAGTCTGGCCTACTTTGGAGTCATTCTGACATGTAGTGAGATGGGACATAGGCCTTATCTCAGGCAAGGTGGTGCTCTTCATAAATCTTAAGTGTTATAGTTCTGAAGCTGATCTTCGCTTTTTAAATATCATTTTACAAAGCTTAAATAAATTGTTGCTCAAGTTCATATGAATATTAGCTAACACCATATAATATCACATCTAAAACATGAATTAAAGAAAGG